CAATCTAATTTATCATTGTCTTTTTAAAAACAGTTTTTCTTTCGTGTGAAGAGTAAATGACGACTTTCCTGATATTGACTCGAAAGCCATAGAGTTGTGTATTGTGTGTGTGTATGTGYGTGTAAATGTGTCAACATAAGTTGGGTAATTTTTCCCTATATTATGTGTACTCTAACAGAATTCAGTAACACTCTCTAAATGCAATCAGTGTGTATATATGTGTGTGTGTGTATTTTTTTTTTTTTTTACAAAAAGGCTAAGAACTATACTTTCACTATTTCTGAGATCAAGGTTAAAGTAGAAATTCTAACATAACTGTGATAAAAGTTGAATAATATGTGATGTAATTTTGGAAAAATATAGAGCAATGAGAACGTTGCTCATGCTCTAGCAGAAGAAAACAGTAATTCCCCCAATGTGCCCTGCTACCATTTTGAACTGTACAAGCTTCCATAAAATGTTCGGTGGCTATTTTGTACATATTACCAGTTGGTGCAGTCTTCATACCCACCTCCTCCTGCCCTGCACCTCTTTTCACCAAGAGTGTGGCCTGTGGCCCAGTGATGAAGGTAATAGCTTACTATGATGATCTGATAAGGTATTGAATTTTAAAAATACAATTATGTTTTGAGCTAAAAATAGCATGCTATTTCAGACTTCAAAAGCTCCTTACATAAATGCTTATATATTTTTGCACTCTAAATGATCTCTATTTGCATGTGAAAACTGTAAATTAGAGCTAATAATCACTGAAATGTGAGATAAAACTGGAAAATTCCATCAGCTAGAGTCCTCCAATAGACTAGTCTTTGGGTTGCTTTTACCCGAGTCTAGAACAGTGTTTCTCAATCTGAGCACTATTGACATCTGGGGCCAGATATTTATTTGTGCCCTATGCATTATGTGACATTTAGTAGCATCCTGCCCCTAGCCATGATGTCTCTAGGTATTGCTAAATGCTAACTGGGGAGTGAAATTATCACTGGTTAAGAACCTTGAGCTGAAATGTCAACCTCAGCTTTGCAAGTCCAAAAACTGCATTTACTGGTGCAGTCAGAAAACTAGTTTTCTGAAATTAAATTCACAGGCGGCTGATACTTAATCCAGAATTTCATTTGTTAAGGTCCAGAGGAAAATGTCCCTTGTAGTCACTCCAGATCCATTACTGCTGCCTGAGGTCTGCCTCTTCTTGTGTCAAGACTATTGAAGATCAAGTGGGTGATAAAGTTGGCCTGTCCAACTTTGAGTTGGATGCACACACCTGAAAAGATGTTTTATTCAGGCCATTATGGTATCCAGTGAAATCCCTATATCCCAAATCATAATTACAATCATGGTGTTCCTACATGTGGGTTTTGGACCCCAACTGGCTTCATCAGTTTAATGGTTCTACCACATGAGATGAGCAAACGAGCCAAACTCTGAATGTTAATAACCCCATCTATAGGTTAATACCATTGGGAAATCAACGGGAAGGGTCCAGATTAGTTACTACAGGTGGAATGATTATAAATTCTTAGCACAGAGCACTCACTAAACCTGTGTTAGTTTTTATTAGTTATATAAGAACAATTAAAAGGTCTGGGGATGTGGCTCAAGCGGTAGCGCGCTCGCCTGGCATGCTTGCGGCCCGGGTTCGATCCTCAGCACCATCATACAAACAAAGATGTTATGTCTGCCAAAAACTACATAATAAATATTAAAAAAATTCTCTCTCTCTCTCTCTCTCTCTCTCTGTCTCTCTCTCTCTCTCTTTAAAAAAAAAAAGAACAACTAAAATATTTTATTGTTAAATAAACACGTAACAGATTACAGTAGAATGTATATGCTCACGGTAAAGAAAAATGCTAAGTATTCACCAAATCCTGTTGGAATTTTAACAAACATCAGAAGCCACCATCTGCCCTTTCATGATCTGACTTCCATATTACAAGACCCTGCTCCAACACATGGAAAAAAGCACCCCCTTTAAAATTTCAGTTCCATTCTTTCAAAGCTGAAAGTAGGGCGACATTGATTCTCAGTTTATAGCTGGCAAAAACAAATGGGCAATAAATATATGCCCTCTAGAGCGACTGCACTAGGGAGGCATTTTACATTTGAAATATTGATTTGCATCTGCATAATTGATTGTGGAATGCAGTTAAACACCCCTTTCCATCACAYACCTGCATACGGATAATGATTGGAAAATTGCTGCACTTCTAATGAACACATCTCCACACAGCACCCGCCCCACGCATGAGTCATGGGCTCATTTGTGTGTGCAAACACACACATTGTAGTTTCCACTGTGTGCTAAATGTGTTTTCGTGGCTGCTTGTCTGCTGGGGGATAACTGGAATTTCCTTCAACATGCCACAGGCTGTGTCCTTTTTATGTATATACTCCTTAATACTTGAATTACAACTAGACTGGCTAGTGTTAGTACTTAAGCCAATCAATAGACACGTGGGAACTGTCTTAGGAGTTAGCTGGAGAATTTAAGGTACAAAAGGAGAAAAGTGGACTTGAAATGAAAATGAGACAGTCTTGAAAACAAAATGCTATCTTAGGTGAAGTCTTGTGAAAGGCATTGGAGAACAAATTGTGTTCAGGCAGAATGAGCTTCGTCAAATCTCAGGTGAATCGAGGTCATTCTTGGAATTATTTAATTTARATTGCTTATTGTCAGTTAAGACATTTAGGACAATAGCCCTCCATGATGTCTAATTATCAATACKTGTTAAATACTAAATATTAGAATACTATTTGAGCAAAAAAATAGGAACATTTTAGTAATTGTTAAAAACATCAAAGACAAGTTCTTTAAGAATCATATATAATGAGATATTAGCTAAATAAATTATGCATGCATGTCATGATAAACACGGAATTCTTATATTTCTTTGGACTTTATTTTTTAATATTATAAACAATGTGATACACACAAAAGGATAGATGATAAATAGGCATAGACATTAATATATACATATTGATATATATATGTGTGTGTATATATGTATATATACACACACATATGTTTACATACATGTGTATATTTATACATGAAGCATCATAATGAAGTGGAAAACTGAATGTATCATCTACACCCAGGACTGCCAATTCCATTTCATTTATCTGTGTGATTTCCTCTTACCCTGACTCTACCCTCCTCTGGAAGTCAACAAATATTCAATTATATAATTYTCATCTTTTCTCCAGATAGTTTTAAAAAATCAAGTACGTTTCCAAACAACCAATGGTTTAGCTTTAGTTCTTAGGATTCTCACAACTAAAACTTCACTAGCGATTTCATTTTTAAGATCCAATCCTTTTGTTTTGAGTTGCTGTAGTTCATTTTATGGCTGTATACTATTCTATTGTGAACTGTAACTATGATTGATCTATTCTTTGGCCATTGGGTGTACGGATTGTTCATAATTTTTTTGTTATTATGAACAGTGCTGAACCTGTCTTCTGGTATAGAATTATTAGTTTCTTTAGTGCTGTTCATTTCTAATTTCTCTTTTTCATRTAATATTAATAATAATAATAAAGTTCTTAGTATTTGTGTAGCTCCTTTGAGACCTGTGGTCTCAAAGTTCCTTGAGACCTGTGGYCCATCCTGAAAGAATGATCAAGGCTTGCCGTTGGAGAAAATGCCCATTTATTGAGGAACAGCTCTGCATATTTATAGAGCCGGGGGTGGTTTGACAGTTATGACAGTTTAATGGTTGAAGGGTTTGACAGTTGGCATGGGATGCTTTCTGATTGGTGGGTAAGGATCATGTGAGCCAGCAGGGCTAATCTGATTGGTGGGTAAGGATCATGTGAGCCAGCAGGTCTGATTGGTGGATAAGCATCATGTAAGCCAGCAAGGCTAGTCTGATTGGTGGGTAAGGATCATGTAAGCCAGCAGGGCTAGTCTGATTGGTGGGTAAGGATCATGTGAGCCAGCAGGGCTAGTCTGCTAGCTCACCATTGGATGGCTCTTCTCAGGGGATGGGGAAGTTAGTCTTTGGAGCCGGGGTGACTCCCAACACATCCAGGGGAAGCTCTTCCCAGAAGGACATACCTCTGAGTGGAACTGATGGAACCAGGGATCTGTGAAAGTTGAAATGTACGAGCTGATGACAAATTCTTGTTTTCATAAGTAGCTGCTCAGGCTCATGCTTCAACACTGGTGGGTTGGAGCTTCTCTGGACCCAGGTTCTCTGGATGAGCTGATGTAGTCAGATTTCTCCCAGCTTGCTGATTTACTGTGCATAAAATCGCATCTTACAATCACAGTCCTGATTTAAAWTTCTTTTTGCCAAGTTTGACAATCAGCATATATAATATCAATTTGTATCAATGTGTGGTCTCTGATGAAGCCCTGTACCCTATTTTCCGTGTGTTTTCTAACTGAATTAAAGCTGGTTTTGTTTTTCTTTACTTTTTWWWAAAATTTTCTACATTTGGAAACCTGATTTACATGGTTTACATGTTTCTTTTGCATATACCTTCTCATGTTTTTTTTTAATGTGTCTTTCTACCTTTCTTCCATATGTTCTACAAGTTTCCATGTTTCTACAAGTCTTTATATTTTTACAAACATTCATGTTTCTTTCATATGTACTTCAAACATTTTGTAATTTTTTTTCCTTCACCTTTTTAAGGTAGCTTTTAGGAATCCTAGGTTCTTAATCTCAATGTAGTTAAATTGAAGAATCTTTCGATGTGTGATGAGGAATTTTTACTTCTTGTATAAATAAACCCTTCGTACCTTAAGATGTTTTATAACCATAATTTCTGTGATGTTCTCCTTTTCTGTTTCCAGCTCCTGATCTTGAAGTTTTTTTTTTTTTTTTTCTTTCCTTACTGAACTTACTAGACTGTTAATAGAATACCTAGGAGCTGTGGGCATATAGATTCTAGATGCTAGTTTTTGATATGTCTGTCAGTTGGTTGTGTCTATTGACTCCAGGAAAACTGTCAGTACTGTACTAACCAGAGTGTGGCATTTTCCCCCCTGGCAGATGACTGTGATGACCCTCTCGTGTCTGCCTTGCCTCAGGTGGCCTTCAGCAGTTCTTCTGAGCTCTCCAGCAGTCATGGTCCTGGATTTGCAAGGCTAAATCGAAGAGATGGTAAGCCTGCCCCTTTCCTCCATATAATTTTCCATTTTCTTTTCATCAGATCATCCTAAGTGATCTTTGTAAAAAAGAAGTGAATTTTTAAATAAGACAGTGGTGAAAGCTCATGAGATGTACATGACATCTAGCTTCCATTCCRGATTGGCAAACTGTCATGTACATCCTACTTGGAACATCTGGTATCATCATTTCCACATTCCAGAGAATTTAGCGCCTTTAATCTGGCAAGTTGATTATATATCTTATGAAATAAAATGTCCCACAACAATATGCAATCACTTTGGATTACAGTAGTGATTAAAACTCTATTCGCTTTCCATTTTCAGTTTAACAAAGAAGTTTGCAAGAAGTAATTTTAAAAGATCATTGTTTAAAAATAATAATCCCTCGGTTGATTTAATTCTCAATGTGGTTGACATGATTTTCTGAGCTGTTGAGGAATAGGAACTTCATAAGGCTTTCATGCTCCTCTAGGAATACTTAGTTCATATTGTTTACTATCTCTTAGGTAGGTTGGGTTTGATRGCTTGAATATGTTTAAAGCAAAGGGAAGATAATTAAATGCCACTTGCTGTGGAAATGAGAAAGAATTTCAAAACACTGTGTACTTAGAGACAGAGCGTCACTGTGATCACTTTTCATAAGGTACTCGGGTAAAAATCATCTGCATAGAAGKTGGAGGGAAAGAGGCTTGGCGATACCAATATGGAAAACATTCTTAACAAACATAAAGAATAGACACCGACATCATGTATTATCAAAACCATACTTCACTCATGCAATATCCCTTTCTCTCTTGCTCTTATCATTTAGACACTGGGTTAGGCAGATTCTTTTGTTGCTATGACCAGAAAGAATTTTTTTCCAAATGTTTTCTCTCTGTGTGCATGCGTGTGTGTGTGTGTGTGTGTGTGTGTGTGTGTGTGTGTGTGTCTGCATGCTGTGAGTACTGCATGCATTAACGTTGAATGTGCAATTTACGGAAGCAATTTTTATTGAGGGATCATAGTTGAAAGCTGGTTTTGTGAGTATGTTAGTCAGCTTTTGGTTGCTGTGGCCAAAATACCTCACAAGAACAACTCAGAGGAGAAAAAGTTTACTTTAGTTCACGRTTTCAGAGGTTCAGTCCATGGTCAGCCAACTCTATAGCTCTGGGCCCAATGAGGGGCAGACTGTCAGGGTGGAAGGGTGGAGAGAAGAGAAGCCGTTGTGTTTATAGCATCCAGGAAGCAAAGAGAGAGAGGAGCCAGGGGAAAATTACAGTTCCTAAGGGCATGCCTCCCAGGTCCTACTTTTTCCAGCCACACCCAGTCTGCCTACAGGCCTCCCAGTATTCCATTCAAATTATGAATCTGTCAAGTGGATGAATYTACTACTTAGGTTATAGTTCTCCSAGTCTGATCATTTTACCTCTGAACATTCCTTCACTGTCTCACAYATGAACTTTCGAGGGGGACACGTAATATCCAAACCATAACACCATTCCTTTTAAGTTTACTCCTTGATGTTATTATTTGTGCCTATTGTTTAATGTTTGAGCACCTTGAACTTTGGACATAACAAATAGATTTTGTGTAGGYCTTTGATTTGCCATCTGGAGATATCTATGTCTGTCTGTCTATCTAGATCTACCTATCATAGATATATAGATWTATCTCTCTATATGCAGATATATAGGTATCATATAAAGTTCTAATTACAATATAGATATCCATACAATACCTTAACATGATCTTAAGGTCAAGTTTATTTAAAATTTTTCTCATATTATTTGAGATAGCCACTTATGTGTGCTTCTGAGCATAAAGATATCAATGCAGGGTTAAAAATTGAGATCTTGGGCTGGGGCTGTAGCTCAGTGGCAGAGTGTGTGMGTAGCATGTGCCAGGAACTGGGTTTAATCCTAAACAAATAAAATAAAGGCATTCTGTCTGTACCTAACTACAAAAAAAAAAAAAAAGTTAAAAAAAGCAGAGATCTTTGTAGGAAGAAAAGAAGGAAATTTGGAGGCACTTGAATGTTTTGTGTAAATGTTTTGTCGGTTCCTTTTAAGTGCCTTGTGACTGGTCACTGGGGACAGTCTCTTTCCATTTGCTGTCTGGAGCCCCTGACTGGCCAGGCACCCTGTGGAGGGCCATTTTGGATCCTGCAGCCATGCCCCCCACAGGCTTACTGTCCCCACAACATGCTTCTGAGAATCAGGTGTCCATCCTGGGCGCCTTTCTAAAGTAGAGTTTGACATTTACCACCTCTTCCTTTTAGTCATAAGAGCTTCCACAGAATGTGTCCCACTGAGAAAAAGACAAAATTTAATTTATCTATGTATCTTTATTTCATTTGTTGAGGTCCAATAAATCACAAAAATATATTTTATTAATTGGATCCAATCATTTTTTTTATTAATTTATATACTCATCAGGACTCTCCATCAGTGGGACTCATTTTCATTCTTAATTTGTTTCTATGGCTCTTGCTGAAACACAATATCAAACTTCATGAATCTCATTTGCATGTTAATGAAACTGAAAAACAAAACAGGATCATTTTAATTATCTTTTGCTGGTTGTCAACCTACTTGATTACATTTTTCCTTTTTATTTAGTTTTTCTTTTTTTCCCCTATTAATTACATGAAGTGTTCATAAAGGAATGYCAGATTTTGAGTGATTTATTAAAGCCTATCTATTCCTTCTAGTATTGAAACATTCCTCATAGTGTTTAAATTAGCCTGGGAAGGGTGTCTACCCAACTCTGCAGGTCATGTATAAATAAATGAAATCAGCAAATCCAGGTCCCAGTATCCCGGATACATAGAGTGACTCTTTTTTTTTCCTGAGGGATCAGGACATTTGGCAAAGAATGGCCAGACAGGAAATGAGAAACAACCCATTTATTTTCTAGCTGTGGATCCATGCCACCCTGGGTTACCCTGAGAAAATGACTCAGGTTTCGGTAATGATGGAAGGGGAATAGGAGAGGATYCTCTTAGACATTATGATTCCATTTCTGTCAGTGGGGAGGAAGTAAAACTTACCTAAAAAAATATAATGATATAATTTTTCCACATGAGTGCTATTGTGGGTTCAATTGTGTCCTCTAAAGGATACATTGAAGTCCTAAACCTGATACCTTTAAAAGTGATTGCTYCTGGACATTTGGTCTTATGAGWTATGATCAAGTTAAGATGAGGTTGTGTTGGACTAGGGTGGTTCCTAAGACCAATGACTGGCATCTTTATAGGGAGAATGAGATTTGAAGATACACAAAGAGAAAAAGGGTATCTGAAGATGCCAGTGGAAACTATAGCCATGCAGCTACAAACCAAAACATATCAAGGATRGCCAGCTACCACCAGAAGCTAGAAAGAGGCCAGACAGGATTTGCCTCTAAAGCCCATAGAGGGAGGACGGCCCTGCTGACCAGCACCTGGGTTTCAACATCTTTGGCCTTCAGAACTGTGCACAGAGTCCATCTCTGTTCTGAGCTGCCTCGTTCCTGATACTTTGTTATGGCTGCCCTAGGARATAGAAGTCCAGAGGACAGTTAAACTTAAATCATTTTCAAAAACAAATGATGTACTTCCTTTGCCCTGGGAAAATGCATATCAATTTGAACTTGAAAGATTTCATGGCTCAGAGGAGTATAATCCAAAATTAACTGTAAACAACACAAACAAAAACCAATCACTGCTAATACTCGAGAAATAATGGAGTCAAATCTCTCTCTCTCTGCATTTATGTAATAGTTCTTCCTAATCCAAGGCTTTGTTTTCTGAAGTTTCACTGAGCCATGATAAGTGTGTGGGCTTTTTGTCACTGTGACAAAATACCTGAGAAAAACTTAAAAAAAGAGAAAGATTTATTTTGGCTCATGGTTCTAATCCATGATCACCTGACTGTGTTACTTTGGGCCTTTGCAAAGCAGAACATCAGGACAGGGARTGTGTGGTGAAGCACAGCTGCTCACCACATGGTTGCCAGAGAGCAGAGAGAGAGAGGAAGGGGCYGGGACAGGATGTAGCCCCCAAGGGCATGGCCCTAAGGACCTAGTCCCTTTAGGTAGGTTCCACCGCCTACAGATTCCATTACCTTCCAATAGTCTATTTAGTTATGACTCCATCAAGAGATTAATCCATTGATAAAGTTAGAACCTCCATGATCCTGTCACTTCCCAAAGCCCCATCTCTGCACTGGAGAACACAAGAGAGCCTCTGAGGGAAATTCCAGATTGAAACCATGACAAAGAAAATATTAAGTGAAAAAATCCAGAAGTAAATGATTCATAAGTTTTAAATTGCGTGCCATTCTGAGTAGTATGATGAAATCTCACATCATCTTGCTCTGTCCTACCTGGGACGTGAGTCATCCCTTTGTCCAGTGTATCCCACACTGTATATAGCACCTGCTTCTTAGTCATATCGTCACTCTCTTGCCAATCAGATTGATTGTCATGCACTGCTTATGCTCAGGCAACCCTTATGCTACCTCACCGAGCCCGTGTTAGTCACATCATGTCATCTTATCACATAGGCATAGTATCATCCCACATCATCACAAAAGGAAGAAGGGTGAGTACTATATAATAAGGTACTTTTGAGACAGATAAAATATAAGGAGATCACACTCATGAAACTTTTATTCTAGTACATTGCTATAATTATTTTATGTTATTGCTAGTTTTTGTTGCTAATCTCTTTCTATGCCAATTTATAAATTAAACTTTGTCACAAAGCACATGTATATAGAGTTTAAAACAGTGTATGTAGGGTTTGGTGCTCTCGGTAGTTTCAGGCATCCACAGGATAGGTAGGGACTACGGTATAATTCTCAATTGTTGGAGTTACAGTGTTTGAATTATAGTGAGCAACTCAAAGTTAAGCATTCTTTCACTTTTACTATTATCAATTAGAGGTCAAACAGCTTCCAGTGTACTATTTGATAGTCCATGTGTGTCTTAGGACAGAATATTTTAGGAAGCCACATTTTGTAGAAATGT